TTTTTTTTTTTTTTTAGATTTTATTCATTTATTTGACAGAGAGACAGTGAAAGAGGGAACACAAGCAGGGGGAGTGGGAGAGGGAGAAGCAGGCTTCCCACCGAGCAGAGAGCCCAATGCGGGACTCGATCCCAGGACCCTGGGATCATGACCCGAGCTGAAGGCAGACGCTTAACGACTGAGACACCCAGGTGCCCCCTCTACAGAGAGTTGTCAAAGTTCCTGGTTATCAAATTATTAAAGAGAAATAACTTTAATTTATGCCAAGACAAATTTGTTTGAAAATAATAATAGAAAAAAATTCCATTTATAATAGCAAAGAATAAATGTAGCCAGAAATATGTAGCATCTTTATGAGGAAAACGATAATATTCTACTGAGTAACTTAAAAATCTTTAGTACATGAAGGGACATAACATTTCCCGATGATAAGAACCTATTCTGTAAGAGGTCAACTTTCCCCAGATTAGATTTATATCAATTTTAATACATATCCTCACAAGAGTTTTTTTTTCAGAGGGAAGGGGGAGTTCCTGACCAACATTTATAAAACTCATCTGGAAGAATGACATATGAAAAGAATCAGAGTTGATGGATAGAGATTTGCCTGTCAGAAATTAAAATAATGCTGTAAAAGTATCATAATGAAAAGTATCATATGTGGAGGCACCTGGGTGACTTGGTTGAGTGTCTGCCTTCAGCCCAGGTCATGATCTCGGGGTCCTGGGATCAAACCCCACCTCGGGCTCCCTGCTCACTGGGGAGCCTGCTTCTCCCTCTCTTTCTGCTGCTCCCCCTGCTTGTGCATTCTCTCTCTCTGTCAAATAAATAATATCTTTAAATAAAAAAGATCATATGTGTGGCAGAAAAGATGGAAAGATTGATGGAATACAATAGAAAGTCTAAATGCAGACCCAAGTCTGGTACATAGGTATATTAGTGTTACTGTATATAATAGCTCATTGTTTCTAAGGTGCCATGGATTGAAAGACTTCATTTTCTGTACTTCCAAGAAAGAAAAAAAAATGATTTCAATTAAACTATGTCAAGCAGTTGATTAGGCTGCACACCGATTTCAAAAATAATAAAATGTGAGAAAAGTACCTAGTAGTTAAAAAAAAGTATGACTTTAGTATTTAAGGTGGCAATTCAAATCATTGGAGAAAGGATAACTATTCAAATATTTTAAGAATCTAGTAGCAATTTGGGGAAAAAAACTAAGTTGAATTAAAAAATTAAATGTGATATAATGAATCTATAAAAGTACCAGGGGAAAATATAGGTTCATATATCATCTTAAAGTGGGGAAGCTTCAAAAAAAATGGGGAAGCTTCTCTTAAAAGCAAGACACTATACAGCAGAAAACCTCAGATGAAGATAATTGACAAATGACAAGTGCAAAAAAAAATATTCGCAAGATTGGTGATAAGGACAGGTCTTACACCTTAGCAAGACAGGATGCTGGCTTTGGAGTCCACCCTATATGGTAGAGAGTACATGAGACCACAAGCAGAATCTAAGAGCTGACCCCCTGCTCTGCCAAAAAGCCAGGAGAAAAACTGTGGTCGGTAACAACATCTGATCTCTGGAATTACAGAAAAGGAAACATAATTGTGTGATTTTAGAAACCATCTACTCCCTTCCCCGTAATTGCTAGAGATGCCTTTGGTGCCGGCTTAGCTCTCAGAGCTGCCGTGATGACCAAATGAAGCAACGTCAGTACAAGTACTTCGTGTGCTCTAATAATACGAAGTGACACTGAGATTTTACTAACTGCACTAGCTCTTGGTTTTCGCCTAATGTTTTCGAGTGTTTTCTTTCATGATTGTTATATTAATTGATTTTTGCTGAGTGGTTTCGTTTTATTTTGGGTTCTGCATTAAGTGCTTGGTTTTTATAGAGCAGTGATTCTGATCTTATATGGATTGCTGGTAGATGTGGCATCTCAAGTGACAAGTTTTAAATTTCATTATTGTACTCTTTAGCCACTCTTCCAGTCATTAATGAAGTTCTGAAAACCCTACCTGTAAATGTGTCCGGGCTTTATATTTTCTCCCATAAAGGGACCCTGTTTGTTTGTTATAAACCTTCTTCATAGCTTTTTTTTTTTAACTTGGGTATTTTTGTTTGATAGAATTAAATTTTCTGAAGGGTATAAAGAAATCAGGATGATCCTGAATGCTATTTAAATATAACTGTCTATTCAGCTTTCAAAGAAGAATTAAATGATATGCCTAAGTGGATAATTTGTCTTCACCCCTTTTCTTGTGCTGAGCTTAGCTCTGTCTACACATCTGTATCTAGATTGGTGGATTGTAATGCAAACACACTTTAGCTGTTCCGCTCTGAGCTGTGGTTGTGACAGCCAGCTCCTGATATTGGTACATTTAACATTCATTTCGATACCTTTGAATTCCCAGAGGTATTAACTAATACTTGTTAATGCACATTCAGTGACGTGCAGGAGAGTTACTTAGCTAGGTCAGAAGCCCAGGAGCCTGCTGACAGCCACGGCTCAACCCCTTCCTGTTGTCTTTTCCTTTCCAGACATACAATAATTCTTATGAAGTGTTAAAAAAAAAAATCTTGTTTATGAGAAGGGGCCATCAAGTAGGAGACAACTTTAGTCAGAACTGAAAGGCAATTAACGTTGTGATGTGAGGATAAGGCATGAAACACGTGACTCTCAAGAAAATGTGATTTGGGAGATAGCCAGATCCTAGATAAACAGTTCCACGTGTATAATTTGGGGATTCACAAAGGTTGGAGGACAGAACCCTCGTGCCGTACCATATACATGGGACATGGGACTTTTAAGATCATGCCGATTGCCGGTTGAGTTACGGTTTTTCTTGCAGTGTCCAAAATCATTATGTTTCATTTAAAGTATTTCTTGATAATGGAATAAGTGTTAGAGAAGTAATCCCTACGGTAGTAATACAGATAGATAAGGACGTCTTTCCTGTCTATCGTAGAAAAACTCCCACAAACAAACAAGAAAGAGCAAAAATGAGAGTGCAGCTAATTTGTAGGGTTAAAAATGAATTGCACATCGATGGTGATGAAGGGACTTAAAGTGCAAGCATGTATCGGTGTGGACTCTACGAAATCCTTTTGTGCTCTGGGAAAAATACGAGATAACAGACTATAGTCTTCATGGGAAAGTAGTTTGGGTCAGAGCCGCAGTCCTGCATTCTTTCATTAACTCAGTAAACATTTTCGAGTTCCTGCTATAGGTCAGGCATTTTGCTAGCTGAGGAAGTGGGACTGAAAAAAAAAAATCTCTAGGCCCAGGATACGTACAGCCTAGAAAGAGAGCCAGGAATGAAATCCTCCATGATATACCGAGTGGTCATTTTTTTTTTCCTCTCTCCAAATTTTTATGTAAATTCTAGTTAACTCACATATAGTGTTAACATTGGTTTTAGGAGTTGAATTTAGTGCAATAAGCCGGTGGGAGAAAGACACATACCGAGTGATTATCTTAAGGGCAAAGGAAAGAGAAGTGCCCGCCTCACCTGGGAAGTGGGCTGCCTCCAGGAGCTATGGTGAAGGAAATTGAGGTGTCCCCTGAATCACAGCAAAGAGCATGTGGGGAGCAGTGGAGGCCAGTGGAAAAGCACGGGCCAAGGTGTGAGCAAGTGAGATGCAGTCAGGGGACTACCCGCAATGACCGGAAGGAGGTACAAGGGCACAGAGTAGCAGCGTGTGGGAAACAGTGGCCTTGGGGACTGGCCCGAGCTGGGGTTTGAATTGTATTTTATTTTATTTTTTTGAAGATTTTATTTATTTATTTGACAGAGAGAGAGAGAGAGAGACAGCGAGAGAGGGAACATAAGCAAGGGGAGTGAGAGAGGGAGAAGCAGGCTGCCTGTGGAGCAGGAAGCCTGACTTGGGGCTCCATCCCAGGACCCTGGGATCATGACCTGAGCTGAAGGCAGACGCTTAACTGACTGAGCCACCCAGGCGCCCCTGGGTTTGAATTTTAGATCTAAGCATACCAGCTTAGTGGCCTTGAGCAAATGACTTAACCTTTCTGAGACTCAGTTTTTTCATCTGTAAAATGGGGATGGTCACACCTACCTCACGGTGTTAGATCATAAGGCCTAGCAATCATGTTGTGTCCTGAAGGTTTTAGCGCAATACCTGCCCCACAGTGGACACACAGTGGAACTCTGTGATTATATATTTAGAGACAGAAGAAATAAGGATTTAACAACACTTGTTAAGAGGTTCCCAAACCCTTCAAAGAGCAGCCTACTAGGGTCAGAATCCCATAGAACTAGTCAGTAAAGATTTACCATAATGTTGATGTGATTTTCCATTTATATTGACTATATCTTTTACCTTCTAAGAGAAGCTAGGATTTAGGAGGTTATGATTTTCTTCAAAGATTCGTCCTGCTTTTATTTCTAAACAAATAGTCATTTTTATTTGCATTTATTTGTAGTATCCAAAGGTGTCTGCAAATAGGATTCTCTGCATCTCTGGATGCAGAGGTGCTTATTTGAAATTTGAAACTGTTTAACGTGAATTACCTGTTTTCTGCATTCTATTTTGTATGTAATTGTGTTTTTTAACTTTTAGTTTCTCAGTCAGGAAAGACAGTCTGTGTGACCCAAAATTCTGATGTGCATCAAAATTGTTCTCTTGGCAAGTGTACAAAAATTCAATTAGTCTCCAAAGGACAAATTGTCTTTGGGGACTCAACTGATCTAAAATTTGTGACCGAGTCTGGAAGAAAATAGTACTCTAGGATTTTTTTGAACACAGGCAACATACAGTTAGGACTGTGTGAAACAATTTCTCATGTAAATTAATTCAGTTTACTTTTCTAGCTTATATTTGTGAGGATCTGTTTGCTTCTTTGGAGATGCCAAGCATTCCTAAGAGGAAAGTATAAGACAGTCTTTGGCAGGGGTTGGGGGTTGTGTGTTAAAGGCAATACAAACTATAATAATTAATAATAATATTTACTCAAATTTCTTGGATTGTTATAGGGGTTTGCCAACTTGTTAATAAGATGGAGGAGAATACTGGCAAGGTTAAGCCTTTCAACCGAAATGATGAACAGTTTCTGGAGGCTTTTGTCATCTTTTGTGGCTTGGGGATCCAGAACACACAGATGTATGAAGCGGTGGAGAGAGCCATGGCCAAGCAAATGGTCACACTGGAGGTGGGCTGGCGCGTGCGGGACCCTCTCTGTCTCTCTGGCCACACAGTCAGCTTCTGCCCTTTCCCCCGGAACCACTCGTGGGGTCACTGTCTCCTCAGAGAATCAGACTGAATTCTTAGTTCCTCATTTAAACAGCTAAGGAAATTGGGACCCAGAATATTGTAGAAACTTATCAAAGGTCATATGACCAAACCAGAACTCGGACTGGTTGTCCCTCACTCCTTCGACCTTAACCTTCACTTCTTCGACCTTAAGAATCCAGTCACACAGACATCTGCTGTCACTGCAGCCTGGCCCTTTCCCGTCGCCTGAGCCTCCCCATCTCCTTGTGCACAGTTGTAGTCACACATCTTAAAAAACAAAAACAGAAACCCTAAGCACTCAGAGAATCAGAAGTGAGGCATGGGAAACTCTTTCAGATGACAGATTTACGGATCCCACTTCTAAAAATCCTGATTCCTAAGTCTTGGATAGAGGCTGGGAATCTACATTATTCCAGAGCTCCCCCAAGTGATTCTGAATGTTCAGGCAGCCGATGAGCCACTGGTTTGGGGCACTGACCCTCACTCAGGCAAGCTCCCTCCCAGGACTATCCTACCTGAGCGGGGCCAGCCCTTTCCAGATGATTTCCACGAACTGCCTGAAAATGTTCACTTTGTATAACACAGAAATTTCTTACATCAGAGACCAGTTAAGGGAAAGAGACTTCAGACGGGCAAATGTCTCTACTTATTCACACACTGGTGTGAAATATATTTGAGTGTATGCCTACTCTTATTTAGTTGATTGAGATCACTGGGTATCAGTGTTTGGAATATGGTAACTTTTCCTCCAATCCTCTAAATAATACCTAACCTAAGTAGCTCAAAAGATATGCATTATAAGTAAAAATTTACTAGTAACCAAGATGGTATACTTTATTTTCTAAAATGAATATATAACACTAATAGTTTTGCCATAGTAACATATAAGAGATCGTGGATTATAAGCCAGTGGAAATCTTTTTCAAATACATGTACGTGTGTATATATACACACGAATATATGCATGTGTGTATGTATGCACACATATACCTCAAGTTACATTTATACAATATATATGCACATGTAGTTTCACGCATGTATATACATGTATACACGTGTGTTCATGTGTGTATATGTATATAATTTTTAATCAAATTTTTTATAGTTTCCATGGTTTTGTACTGAAGTGAATCTAAGCCAGTTATCAATTAGAAATTATATTTTGTAAAACTTTTTACTATGGAAAATTGCAAGCATATACAGAAGTAGAGAGAACAGCTTAGTGAGAGCCCATGTACTCATTAGCCATCGTTAATAATTATTGACCCATGGCTGATCTCATTCCTTCATACACTTGCTCACTTCACTGCACTCTTCTTCCGCTTTAATCCATTGATATTTTTGAAGCAAATTCCAGATATTATATAATTTAGTTCAAAATCTTCGAATAGTTTCCTGATTGAGATTTATTTTTACACTGTAGTTTTACTTTAGATAAATATGTGAGTAATTAGGCTTTTACTTAGTATAAACATTTATTTCAATTCACTATGAGAAGTCCTATCTATGCTTACAAGTTTAACCTTGAAAAAGATTTACCTGTCCTTAGGAGGCACTGGATAAAAGCCAGGGACACAAACTCCTCAGGTTTTCTTAGGACGGTGAATTATTTTGACCTGGAAGCCATGATCATTATAATGACAATAAAACAACAACAATAATAATAGCTAACCTTTATCAATGTGCTTACTCTGTGTTCTAATGCTCACAGGTACAGACATACCTTATTTTGTGGTGCTTTGCTTTATCGGCGATCACGGATACTTCATTTTTCACACACTGGCGGTCTGTGGCGACTCTATGTTGAACAAGTTTGTTGGCGTCATTTTGCCAACAGCATTTGCTCACTTCGTGTCTCTGTGTTGCATTTTGTTGATTCTCACAATATTTCAGGCTTTTTCATTATTATTATATTTGTTGTGGTGTTGTGTGATAGTGATTAGGACCTGTTGAAAGCTCAGGTGATGGGTTCCATTTTTTTTTTTAAGCAATGAAGTATTTTTTAAATAAGGTATTAAGTTGCTTTTTTAGATATAATGCTATTGCACACTTAATATACTACAGTATAGTGTCAACATAACTTTTACGTGCACTGGGAAACCAAAAAATTCATTTGACTCACTCTATTACGATAATGGCTTTATTGCAGTGGTCTGGAAACAAACTCACAGTATCTCTGAGGTGTGCCTGTATTAGCAAAATTATTCCTTACGACCCCGAGTAAAGTGCTATTTTTACCTTCAGTGAGACAACATCTCTTTTTTTTTAAATTTAGAATGGCATGTTATTCCCATGTCCATTCATCTGTGTTGTATTGCATTTATTTATATTAGACTAGTGCATGGCCACAGTCTTCGCTTTCCTCAACAAACTAGCTCTGTGGTCCCAGCAGCAATGAATTAGCCACCATGACCCATCAATTTCATGTAAACAGAAGACAGTAGCTCCAAGTTTCCTGGGGCTTCCTAGTGCTTAATGGTTCAAATACGAAGACAAATCCTCATGTAGCACTGAATCACAAGATAGACATATATGCCATTTTAGATTTTGAATTGCTTAAAATTTTAAAGACTGGTTCAAGGAAAACTAGCCCAGGCTGCTCAATTACTCGAGTCCCCATTTAAAATCTGAAAATGCCTCACCTCCTTATCAATTATGCTGAAATCTTTGGGGGTTTTAGTAAATCTATGTGTGTCTGTCAAAAATGAATTTTCAAAAAAAAATTTTTTTAATATGGTAGGCATTTTAAATATGACCACTACCTCGGCTCAAAAGAATGTCTGAAATATTATCCCATTACTTTGAAGTTATTACTTCTGAAATTGGGAATTAATGATTCTTACGTTAAGGTATAAGAAAATAGTAAGCTTGTCTTTTTAATTCTACTCAGGTAACAGAAAGCGTACTAGATTAGGAGTTGAAAGCAGGGTCCCAGGCCTCCCTGTCCTCTCACTAAGTGTGAGCTTGCTGCCAAGTCTTGAGAACACCTGTGCCTTGGTGTTCTCGGATGTTAACAGAGGGGGTTATAGGCCAGTGCTACACTTCTCAGCTCCTGAATCCTAGGAGTGGGGAGGAATCCCTGAATCTGTATGACATTACATTCTAGCCATGCACTTTTTCTTTATGAAATTCTACCTTGGTTATGGGCCTCATCTGAGGGCCACTTCTAGACTACTTTCTTTCCAAATATCAATGTTAAAATGTCAGTGTATGCAAAGATTTTTTTCTTAATTCTGTACACAGATTAAAAATAACTGAAGTCACTATTACTTTTTAAAAAGCAGTACAAAAAGAAAAAAAAGCAACAAAATAAGCTTTCTGCCAAGTTTGAGCCAGTAGCATGGCTGATAAATAATGTGCTCTCTGTATCAACGGTGTCAGAATAAAAGTGACAAGACTTTCTCTGAACATAGGGAGTATAACTTTTTGTCTTCCGAAACACGCAATTGAATGGAAATCTGGGATTTTTTTCTCTCTGTTCAAGAAAGCAGGAAACAAGATTTGACATTCTGGGGCGTCTAGTTCTGTCTCCAGGAAGTTTTAGCAGAATCTCAAGCTTGACACTGTCAAAGTCTACATTCGGTAGCCCTCTCTTGGATAACCCGTTTTCCTTTGTTTCTTACCCTGTAGGTTCTGTCATATCACGCTTCAGCAGCAGAAGAAGAAACAAGAGAGCTCCAATCCTTAGCGGTAATGCTCCCCTTTCTTTGTAAAAGTGACTAAGTGCCGACATCTAATTAATACATAAACATGGTTCTCTTAGGATAACTGCTTCTAATAGCAGTGGTCCCATTGAATTAAATGTGGTAAATATTTAGATGGACATTCATAAAAATATTTAATCAATTCTACTTTCTTGTAGGGCCACAAAGTCACTGATGATAACAAAGCAAAAGATAACATGTTGACTTTATAATACATTATATGATTCTGATTTTTTTTTTCCCAGTAATGTTACATCTTTTTTAGGCCAAAACTAAACTTACCTTTCAGTTCCTGGGGAAATGTGAACAGGTGACCATGAGGTGGTGGCTTGGTAAGGGTAATGACAACAAAGATTTTGTAGTTTGTTGCTGATAACCCGCTCTGCCTTATCAGGAATTGAGAGTGATTTTAATGTCTGACCATGTGGCTTATGGAATGTTATTTGAAACTGGGTTCAAATAAGGTCAGTTCCTGAATTCTCATTACATTTTTTATTTAGTATGTTATGAGAAAAAAACATACTGATACTTAAGTAGAATGTTAAATGTTCTAGGTCTTGGTTGAGATTAATGAAAATTTGAGGCACTTACACATTGACAACAAAAGCAAGTGGCCTTCTGAGTTGAAACTTACTTGGGACAACATGGAGAAGGTCTACACGAGATGTGACGAGAGTCTGTAAAGAATGAGGAGGGTGTGAACAGATGGTTGAGATTCTTTTTCATTGTCATCATCAGCATAGCTGGCCACATGCCAACCTTCTGTGGCCTTACGTACATTTCCTTATGTAATCTGCACAGCTGTGTTATGAAGGCCACCCTGAAGCTAGAGAAGCCAAGTTGACTTGCTCAAGGTCACACTGGCAGAAAGTGGGGGAAGTCAGGTACAAACTCTTAATGGTCTAGTTCCAGCACTCATGCACAGACCACTGTGCTGTTATGAGCCATTAGGGAGAGAGAAGATTAAAGATGATTGAAATGCTTTGACCTTCATAATTCAAAGAAGGATGGTGCCATTAACTGACAAGAGTGGAAATGTTAAGAAGGGGAAATGGTAGGTTTGATGGAGAATGTGCTAAGTGTGAGGCGCTGGTGGAACCACCAGATGGAGGTCTTCAACAGTCAGCAGAGGCAGGACTAGCGTGGGGAGGGGCTGAACCAGAGGTGGTGATTTGGAGGTCCCGCCATGGGGTTTGGGGGATCCCATGGGAGCGGAGCAGTTGGGAGAGGGGTATGGAAGACTGAAGGCAGAACTCTTGGGAATCTGGGTTTCGATGGAAGGAGTAGGAAAGGAACCTGGCTGAGGTGGAGAAGTGGTAGGTGAGCAGGGAGGAAGATTTAGGATGTGGCCGTGGCGCAGAAGGCAAAGGGACGAGTTTCAAAGAGGAAGGAGGGCCCATCAGTGGTAGGAAGGTTGAGAAATAGGACTGAGAGAAGACTGCTAGACTCTGTGATCATGTGATTGTTGAGAAAGCAGCTTTAGGTGTAAAACTGCCGGAGGTTAGAGTGAATGGTGACAAAATGGAGAAAATGAATCATAGCCTTGTTTCAAAAGATAAGTTTTGTGTAAAAGAGGGAGTGGAGAAGTAGTAATGAAGGGTGTTGGCTGAACTGTGTGAAGTTTTTTGTTTTGGTTTGCTTTGTTGTTGTGTGGGGGGGGTTGCTCACAAGCTAGAGACCCAGCATGCTCTTGGACAGAGGGCGAAGGTAGGGGATAGAGTGAATACAAGGCAGGGAAGAGATCTAGACATTGGAGCAGCCTAGGCATTGAGCGACCCAAGAGGGAAGGGATCATAACAATAATAGTAGGGACGCCTGGGTGGCTCAGTCGGTTAAGCGTCTGCCTTCAGCTCAGGTCATGATCCCAGAGTCCTGGGATCGAGCCCCGCATTGGGCTCCCTGCGCAGTGGGGAACCTGCTTTTCCCTCTGCCTGCCGCTCCCCCTGCTTGTGCGCTCTCTCTGACAAATAAATAAAATCTTTAAAAAACTTAAAAAAATAATAATAGTAATAATAGTAGTTTCATTTATTGAGCACTTACCGTACACCTGGCATCTCTGAAGTTCTCTGCATGTGTTAACTAAGTGTATTTAGTCCACAGCAGCCCCATGAGGTCAGTACCCTTTAGCATTTGGAATCCCAGGATTTTGAGGTTGAGAGGATCTCAGGATCTCCCAGGTGGTAAGTGATGGTGCGAGTACTCAATCCAGGCAGCCCACATCCAGAGCCCACACTCCATTGCACAACACTGGAGAGGCAATGAGCTGGAAAGGAAGGAAGGATGAAAACTTACAGACGTTCTCAATTAAATCAGTGAGTAGGAAGTGGAGTCATTTGCCAAAAGCAGTTTAAGGAACTTGAGGTGATTTGTCCTGAGAGGTTACACTTCTTCTTTTGGGGTTAGCCTTATTTGGAGGCTATATGGGCTGTATTTATTTTGTTGATGATGGTATTCGAAGGAATGAGCAGTTTTTCAACTATTTACAAAGATTTATAGGTTTTAAATATCTTTCACATCAGGCTTAATTGGCCTGTTTGTCTAATCCTCCCAGAATGATGAAGTTTTGAACTAAAAGCATACTGTAAGTTGGAAATATCACATGGAAAGATACAACTTGAAGTGCTTGCAGGCACTGCAGGAGTGTTAAATTAGTTCTAAAATGAGGGCAAGGTTACACTCTGCCATGTGTTGTTTTAGATAAATAAAAACTAGCAAATAGAGTAATGTCTAAAGGTAATGCTGGAAAAATCACTTAGGTTATTAAACTTTGCTTTTCACTTTGAAAATAGCAGTCCTTCAGAAAAAATTTGAAAGTTATTTTCTCAATTATTTTTATGATTTTAACAAGAGAAAAACCCTTTGGAGTAACTGAAAATTGCCATTTTGCAGTATTGTTCAAAACCATCTGTTGTTTCATTTGGAAAATAGATCTCTGGCAGCTGCATTGAGAAATTTAGGGTTATAAGCTTGTAGGTCGAGTTCTTTATTTAAACTGGTTGAAATTCAGCAACTGAATGCAGTGCTGGTTTTCTAGCAACCTAATAAAAATTCCTTCACAGCCCCAACTACACAGGTGTCTGCATTATCCAGCGACTGCCAGAGTTGTTGCCTTTGTCGTGTATCTGATGATTTATCTCAATTTAAAACCTAAAATAAATCGAAAAGCTGTTTAATGTATTCTTAACTTTTATTTTTACAAATTAGTTCTTGGATTAAATAATATACTTCAGGATCATGAATATTTATGCCTGTGTCCAGAAAAGTTCTCTAATTACAATAGAAGTATAACAAAGTTGACAGGAAACTCAGAATCCTTATTTTTTTTTCCTTGTTTTACTTGAGTTTTTAATCTAATTTCTCTTGACTTAGAATTGGGTATCGCAGAAATAAGGCCTTAAACTAAGCATTCTACCATATACCTTTTAATGATCATTAGTCACAAGTTGATCACATAAAAATAAATGGACCCCAGCTGCCTGGTCATGGTTATTAGAAAATTATTAGTTAAGATAATCAGAAAGTAATCAAGTTTATTTCCAGTAACTGGATATTTGATGGACTGATTGCCTTTTCTGCTTTCCTCTCTTGTTAGTAGGATAGTAAATAAATATGTATTAGAGTTTAGTTTTTTAAAATAAGCTTCTCAGTTTTGCCATGGAGTCCGTGCTTATTCAGTTCAGTCCGTAGAGCTTCTGCTTTATGGCAGTTTCTGCAATCATACATAATGTATCTAAAAGCAAACAGACCCTTTTGTATCCTGAAAGGTTTTCTGCGTCAATATAGTGAGAGAGGAAGAAGCTGACCTCTTAGGCAGGATTTCTTAGGACAGAACTTACTTCATCTTGATCTTAACCTTTCAGAGCCAGAAACGTCCCATGAACTCTCTTGATCAGGTGTGTGCGTGACAGGTGACTGCAGGAAAGGGCAGAGCTGCTCCATGACCCAAATCTCTGACGCCTAAAAGTTAGTGTCAGAGTATCGATCCAATTCCTTGTATTAAGATGATCATCACATTCCCTCACTTTTGGGGAAAATCTGTATATGGAGAGTCAAATTATAAATGGAAAATTTTGAGCTGATAATAACAGAGTTGGCGTTATGATCTCGATAACCAGTGTCACGGAACTATAGTAACCTCCGGCATTCAGGAAGATTCCTTCTTCCTCAAACAGGTGCTAGAATTACCCTGAAACCATCTGGGTCCTTTGGACTTCCTGTACACCATCAGTTGATACATTCATTTTTATAGGTGTCTACAACGTTAACTGGGGTATATCTTTTCCACATTGGCAAAACTTAATAGATTCTGTTTTGATTCTTCCTGCTTTCCTTTGGCAAGCTAATCTTATCTTTTCTGCTTTGATTTTCCTAGTGGATTACTTCCAACGGTAATCTTAGCTCCAAAGTATAGTGGCACCATTCTTGAGCTTCTTATATACTAACTAGTTGTTGACCAGATCTGCACCACTTATTCCTAACTGTAGTCATAAATTTATCTTGAATGTTTTACTTATAAGCATATATACATTTTATCAGAGTCTTGACATCATGTGCCATCGTTACATGGTTTTGAAAACTGTATGCTTATTATTTTTTACATTCTGTGCCTTTTTGCCATTGAGATTTATAAGATTACATTTATATAATGTGAGAAAGAAGGAAAAATCATAAAACATGTTGATGTAGTTATTAAAGAAAATATGCTAATCCAGTCCTGCTTTGCTTCATTCGCTTCTTTATTCTCTGTAAGATTTGGTTCTTTGAATATTCACCTCCCTTTGTTTAAGTAAATTTCTTTCTCCTATGCGTTTGGATTCACTTCCCTCTTAGAGAAAGATAAATTCTAACAGGCTTGTAAATGGTGTGGATTTTTTTAAGAACATATTTTCTGTGTATGTTAAAAGTGGGGAAGAGAGACATTAGGCTTCTGTAAAGTATAATGTGATGGCTGTCAAACGGCTTTATTCAGAGACCTGGAAACCAAAC